TATATTTTATTTATTTATAATTATTTGTAAAAAATTTGATAATAAATTTAATTATCATCAAAATAAATAACATATCTTAATAATATATGAGTCATAATAAATAGTAAAACATTGATCGCTACAAACAATACAAACAAATAGATAAATATGAGGGGATTGTTGTCGATATAGTGACCCAATACGGCCGACATTATGGCCTGAAATAAACCGCTTAAAAATATAGTAATGGCCCCGAACATGTTGGTCACCGGGAGTTTACCTTTCAGTAATTGATAATACGATGACTGTATGGGTCCCAATCCTAAACCCATAATCACATTACCCACCCATAGAATAGTTAGCGAACTGTTACCGTATATGAGAAACAATACGACCGATACAATCAATAAACCGAGACAACCATATATACGGGGTATGGGATTCACATATATAGACAATGGTATGAACAGTCCTCGACTAACTGTAAAAGCAATTTGATTGACATTTACGATATTATTGGCCAATTGTTTGCTGATTATATGATGTTTGTTATCTATGGAAAACTGTATGTATGGCATCCAATAGGCTGACCAATACCATTGAATAGTAATAGCCAATGATAACTGTAAACATGTCATCAATATGACGGCGCAGCCTATCTTTGATGGACAGAGTTGTTTGACAAACAATCGGTATGTTTTGTTAATTAAATGTCTAAACCATTTGACGGTTAAGTTTGAAGTGTTGTCGACTGTTGTTAGCAAATCGTTATTAGATTTGTTACTATCAGTCGTTGGATAATATCTATGTCTATAGTAACCAATACCGGCAAACAATATACCGGTCAGTATATTGATAACACCGACTAATACATACGGTATCCATATTCTGGACGGTGTTTCCATAGTATACAAACCATCAGTTAATGTATTATTATTATTATTGGATCTATTAGTATATATTGTTGTCGATAGAAACTGATTAGCCAATGGTGTTCCCACTATCTGACCCATAGCCTGGACAAAATGTAGTGCCTCTGTAAACGGTCCGCATTTGGACTGCCATAAGTCGACTATCCATATAGTTAGAAAGCTATCAACAATACCGGTATCTATACCATTGATACCGTATACTACATATAATAAGGTCAGATATTTCAGATTAGCAAACGGTGCTGTTGTCAAACCATTGACAAACAAACATAACATAAAACCAATATATCTATTAAACTTGCTATAGATTGCAACACCTGTATGTTTTTTTAAAAAAATAAAGTCATGTATTAATTTATTTTTATTTAATTTTGTTGTTGTATACCTAATGCACCCACCAAATAGGTTATACCCCATATGGTATTTAGATAGGATATCTGTTCAAATGTGCACCGGTATATTGATTGCAAGTCAAGCAAAGTGGGTCCCAATAGCTGATTTTGAACAACCTATTTAAATAGTATTATATAGTATTTATGAATTATTTATTTTTAATTAATAATTTGATTGATAAATTTACAATAAATAAACCACTAATATATATAGCAGACGTCAAAAACAATTTATAACGTATCGATAATTTTTTGCTGTTATTATTATTATTATTATTATCACTATTATTAATATTAATATTATTATTAATAATATTATTATTATTAATATTATTATTATTAATATTATTATTACTATTATTAATAATTTCCATATTATATAAAATTTTTAATACAAGTAATACAAATTTTTAATTATTTTTTAATTTAATATTTACATGAATATTTCTTTTATTAAAATTTTATAAAAATTTCTAATAAAAACAAAATTTTACTAAAAAAATATTAGATAATCTGCTAAATCATTTGACAATTAAAATATTTAAAATATTATTTTATTATTTAGCAAAAATAATAATTAATTATTATCAATAAATTAACAACAACAAAAATATTTGTATTGTAAATATAAATTATATTTAAAATTTTAAACATTTATAAATATTCTTATTATTAGTTTTGAAAAATAAAAATAATATTAATTAAAAAATTATAATCTAGTAACTGAATCACTAGATTTGACATTGATAACTTTATTGATGAGCACATGTATTATCATAAACAATATCAATGGTACGACAACACAAAATAAAATAATATATATGAAAATCATAGGACACTGTTCGAGATAGGCTCCCGATAGCAGTGAAGTTATTGTCATATAAACACCGATTGTAAATATAAACAGTGCGCCCACCAAATTGGTTACCGGTGTTATCGATTCAATCAATTGATATATATTGGCAAATATAGGTCCCAAACCAAAACCAATCAGTACACTACCCGTCCACATAATAGCTATAGATGTGCCTTGAAATATAAGAAACAGTATCTGTGATACCAATAGTACGGTAAAACAGGCATATGTTACGGGAATAGGGCTAATATAATAGGATAGTACTACACAGATAGCACGGCTCAATGAAAAAGCGGCCCACATTACTATCATAATATTGTTGGCCATTTGGTTGGTCAGTCGTGCCTGTGATGATTGGCCAAATGATAGCCAATAGCTATTGTAGGTCCACATTATTGCCGTAACCAAACCAATAGTATTGGCCGCTAATATGAGTAGTATGAGTTTGGCGGGAGTAGACCGGAGTTCAGTGGCCAACATTTTGACCAATTTGTTACTCCTATTGTTTACTGATTGTTCATCGGATTGAATTACTCGCTTGACGTACGGCCTGTATAGGTATAGACCACCGATTATTGCAGCGCATAATATGTTAAGACCACCGATAAATAGATACGGTATGTATACGCGTGTAGGTGTGCGCTCAGTGATGGCTATTGTAGTCGAGTTCACTAATGTTAGATTTTGAACTACATTTCCGGTATTGGTTTTCATGTAGTTAATAATTGAATGGGAATAGTTGTGTTTATTAATGTTGACTAACTCAGTGATAGTTTCCGATAGGAAAGGGTTGGACACTAGCGGTGATATTATAGCTGATAGGCCTAACGCTATTTGCAATCCCTGTGCAAACGGTCCGCACAGATCTTCCCACATCTCGACTATCCAGACACTGGACATTGTGTCGATAGCACCGCTGGCCAGACCGTTGACGGCAAATGTAGCAAAATATCCATTGAGTCCATCATATGGTATAATCATTGTAGTGACGCCAACAGCTATCAGGGATACCATGTAAACAATTTGCAAGTTTATTATGTTAAATAATGGACCACCTACAATAATTTATTATATACATTATATATATATATATCTATACAGTATATTTTAGTCTAATTGTATACCCAATGCCCCGATAGTGTATGCGACACCCCATATGGTAACACCAAGTGATACCTGGGTAAACGTACAGTTGTATATATATTGCAGATTGATTAGTGTGGGACCAGTTATCATGTTTTGAAAACACTACAGATTTATGGTTTGTATTTAAAGATTAATAAAAATTTTAGATTAAAAAATTAATTTTTTTTGAATACTTTAAACTATACTTACATAACAAAAATAACATAAATATATGACAATTGTTAGCAAATATCTATAATTTTTAGATATTTGTGGCGATATGGTTATAGTCATGATTATATAATAAATTGATAAATTTTTAACAACAAAAAAAATAATTTTTAATTAATATTAAATAATTAATTAATCAAAAATTAATTAAATAAGCATCATAATTAGTTTAACAATAATATTTTATTTTTATGAATTATAATTAAATAATATCTTTCTATTGATAATAATACACAAAATTAATTATAATATTATAATAATCATATATTATAAAAAAAATTAATAATTTAATAAATGAATAATATTTTTATTGATAATTATATATGAATATTAAATTAATAATTTTTTTTAACAAGATAAGTTTGAAATAAAAAAATTTAATATTTACAATAAAAAACAAATATTATACGTTATGTATTTCAAAGGGATAAGCAAGGTTTTGGATCTTAGGTGGGGGTATAGAGTTGGGTATACCTTTTTATATTATTTTTTAAGGAAAAAATTTTCAAAATCCAGGGGGGGAGGTAAAAATAAAATTCCCATTTTTTGAATAAATAAAGCATTTTTATGTTTTATTTTCAGTTACACTTTTTTGTTATTATTATAATAATGTTTTATTTTATTAACAATATATACAGTATTAATGTAATGTTATTGTATAAAATAAATATAATTATCATCATCAATTTTTAGGGGTGGGGTGGGGTAGGTGGATTATTTCTCACAGTTTTTAAGCGACAATTTTACTAATTTGGTCAAAAAAAAACTGGGAGAGGGTTAAAATCCAATAAATCGTTGACCTAGGGGGGGCTATTTTAGCCATGCCCCTACCCTTTCTATACCCATGTTTAACCCTGATAATTAACTATTAAAAACTGCTTACTAATGCAGTTTTATATATATATAAAATATTTAAAATATTTATTGTTTATATAATGTTAATTTTATACAGTAAATACAGTATAATAAAACATAGTTAACATTTTAATAGATTTTTAAAAAATTTAATATACAGTAAATATAAAATTCCTACATTTTTATATATTATTTTTTTAAATAAATATTTTAATTTCTAAACTGTAATACATTTAAATTATATTATTATTTATATTTATAAATTAAATGTCAAAATAAAATTAATTCTAATAATCTTAAAATAAAATGTTAGAAAATAATAATAATAATAATAATACATTTATAACATACACTTTAAAAATTATTAATAATATAACATTATTAAAATTTAAAAAAATTGCAAACATAAAATTTAATAATTATTTTTTGTTGTTGATATTTATAGTGAATAATAATAATAATAATAATAATTAAATAATGTTGGAAAAAATCCAATTTGTCATTATTAATAATATATGCTTTTTTAAATTTTAATATTAATATTATTAAGTAACAACATATTTTTTGTGTAAATATATATATTTTTTAAATTATTAAATAAAAATATATATAGTTCATCTTTATTTAAAATTATAATCTAGTAATTGAATCACTAGATTTGACATTGATAACTTTATTGATGAGCACATGTATTATAATAAACAAAATCAATGGTACGACACAACAAAATAGTATCATATATATGAAAATCATAGGACACTGTTCAACATAAGCTCCCAAAAGCAATGAAGTTATTGTCATATAAACACCGATTGTAAATATAAACAGTGCGCCCACCAAATTGGTTACCGGTGTTATCGATTCAATCAATTGGTATATATTGGCAAATATGGGTCCCAAACCAAAACCAATCAGTGCACTACCCGTCCACATAATAGCTATAGATTTGCCTTGAAATATAAGGAACAGTATCTGTGATACCAATAGTACGGTAAAACAGGCATATGTTACGGGAATAGGGCTAACATAATAGGATAGTACTACACATATAGCACGGCTTATGGAAAAAGCGGCCCACATTACTATCGAAATATTGTTGGCCATTTGGTTGGTCAGTCGTGATTGCGATGACTGGGCAAATGCTAGCCAATAGTTACTGTAGGTCCACATTATTGCCGTAACCAAACCTATAGTATTGGCCGCCAATATGAGTAGCAATAGTTTTGATGGTGTAGACCGAAGTTCAGTGGCCAACATTTTGGTCAATTTGTTAGTCCAATTGTTTGCTGATTGTTCATCGGCTGCCGATTGAATCACTCGCTTGATGTACGGCCTGTATAAGTATAGACCACCGATTATTGCAGCGCATAAAAGGTCGAGACCACCGATGAATAGATACGGTATGTATACGCGTGTAGGTGTGCGCTCAGTGATGGCTATTGTAGTCGAGTTCACTAATGTTAGATTTTGAACGACATTTCCGGTATCGGTTTTCATGTATTTAATAATTGAATGGTAATAGTTGTGTTTATTAATGTTGACTAACTCAGTAACAGTTTCCGATAGGAAAGGGTTGGCCACTAGCGGTGAAATTATAGCCGATAAGCCCAACAGAAACTGCAATCCCTGTGCAAACGGTCCGCACAGATCTTCCCACATCTCGACTATCCAGACACTGGACATTGTGTCGATAGCACCGCTGGCCAGACCGTTGACGGCAAATGTAGCATAATATCCGTTGAGTCCATCATATGGTGTTATCATTGTAGTGACGCCAACAGTAATCATGCATATCATGTAAACAATTTGCAAGTTTATAATGTTAAATAATGGACCACCTATAACAATTAATTATATACATTATATATATATATCTATACAGCAAATTTTAGTCTAATTGTATACCCAATGCCCCGATAGTATATGTTACGCCCCATATGGTGTTACCAAGCGATACCTGGGTAAACGTACAGTTGTATATGTATTGTAGATTGATTAGTGTGGGACCAATTATCATGTTTTGAAAACACTATAGATTTGATGATTTTTTTATATTTTTAATAATTTGAAAATACTTTCAACTATACTTACATAACAAAAATAACAAATATATACAACAATTGTTAATAAATATCTATAGTTTTTAGATATTTTTGGCGATACAGTTATAGTCATTATTAAAAGATATAATTAATTACAATATATTTTTTTCAAAAAAAAACAATTTAATTAATAAATTAATTAATAAAAATAAATTAACTATGCATCATAATTAGTTTAAAAATAATTTTTTAATCAATTATTATTAAATAATCTCTTTAGAGCTTAATAATAATACACAAAATTAATAAGTCAATTATAATTAAATTTATATATATATTATTTATAAAAATAATTAATAAATAAATAAAAAAATATAAATACAAATGTATATTTTTTTAATAAACTGTGAAGTAAAGTGTGATATATATTTTTTTATGCTATGTATTCATAATCCAAGGGGAAAATTCAAGGGGTAGAGCAAAAAATTCCTACAAAATTTTTTAAATTCTCGAAAATTCCCATTTAAATGGGGAGGAAATTTCCAAGGAAAGTAGGAAAATATTCAAAATAAATTTCTTAAATTAATAAATACTAATTTCAATCTAATTTATTTAAAAAATATATATAATTATCACATATTTATATACATATATAATTATAATATATATAATAATCAACACAATCTGCCTTTAAAATACAATAACTTAATATTTTCATAATTATCTTAAAAATTATCTTAAAAATTTTGTTATTAAAATAATGTTAAAAATTAAATGATTAATCTAATATTTTTTTTTAAAATTCCAACCCCCCCCCTATACATCCCTACCCTCTCCTAGTTTAACCCTTGTATTTCTAAACTATAACTAAAACTGCTTACTAATGCAGTTTTATAGAAAATATTTCAAATATTTGTGTTTTAGTTATAGACTGTAAATATTTTTTTTATAAAATATTAATTATTAATTAAAATATCTTAAATATTAATAACAAAAAAATCGTAAAATAAATTTAAAACAAATAAATTCGTAATTTTATATATCTATATATATATAAAAAATAAAAATAATGCAAACAAATATTAATCAATTAAATATTAAATGTTTCTTAATAATTATTAAAATATTATTATTAATAACCTTGTTCAATTAAACACATGTATAAAAAATATTAATGTTAATAAACTTAATAATTAGAATAATAATAATGTCTATTTATAATTTTGTTGTTTGAAAATTACAACTATTATTATTATTATTATTATTAAGTTTATTTATAGTATCATCATTATCATTAGTTATAATGTTTTCAATTGATTGTCTAGAATTTAAAAAAGTGACATTGATCACTTTGATCAATAATACATGTATTATTACTAAAAAAATCAATGGTACGACACAACAAATTAGTATAATATATATGAAAATCATAGGACACTGTTCAACATATGCGCCCAAAATCAGTGAAGTTATTGTCATATAAACACCGATTGTAAATATAAACAGTGCGCCCACCAAATTGGTTACCGGTGTTATCGATTCAATCAATTGGTATATATTGGCAAATATGGGTCCCAAACCAAAACCAATCAGTGCACTACCCGTCCACATAATAGCTATAGATGTGCCTTGAAATATAAGAAACAGTATCTGTGATACCAATAGTATCAATAGACAGATATACGTAACGTATAAAGGATTAACATAATAGGATAGGACTACACAAATAGCACGGCTAAGGGAACAGGCTGTCCACATTACTATCGAAATATTGTTGGCCATTTGGTTGGTCAGTCGTGCTTGCGATGACTGGGCAAATGATAACCAATATCCACTGTAACTCAACATTATTGCCATAACCAGACCAATAGTATTGGCCGCCAATATGAGAAGCAATAGTACCGCACGAGTTGGCCACAGCTCAGTAGTAAACATTGTGTTGATTCGGGCAAACATTTTGGCCAATTTGTTACGCCGATTGTCTAAAGGTTTCTCATCGACTGCCGATTGGGTTACTCGCCTGATATATGGCCGGTAAAAGTAGAGACCGCCGATTATTGTAGCGCACACTAAGTTAAGACCACCGACGATTAGATACGGTATGTATATACGTGTAGGTGTGCGCCCAATGATGGCTATTGTAGTCGAGTTCACTAATGTTAGATTTTGAACAACATTTCCGGTATCGGTATTCATGTATTTAATAATTGAATAGGAATAGTTGTGTTTATTAATGTTGACTAACTCAGTGATAGTTTCCGATAGGAAAGGGTTGGCCACTAGCGGTGATATTATAGCTGATAGGCCTAATGCTATTTGCAATCCCTGTGCAAACGGTCCGCACAGGTCTTCCCACATCTCGACTATCCAGACACTGGACATTGTGTCGATAGCACCGCTGGCCAGACCGTTGACGGCAAATGTGGCATAATATTCATTGAGTCTAACATATGGTGTAATCATTGTAGTGACGCCAACAGTAATCAAGCATATCATGTAAACAATTTGCAAGTTTATAATGTTAAATATTGGACCACCTAAAACAATATTAATTATATACATTATAAATATTTATACAGTATATTTTAGTCTAATTGTATACCCAATTGTGTATGTGATAGTGTATGTGACACTCCATATGGTGTTACCAAGCGATACCTGGGTAAACGTACAGTTGTATATGTATTGTAGATTGATTAGTGTGGGACCAGTTATCATGTTTTGAAAACACTGTGATTTATATTTTAATATCACTTTTTTATACAAATAAATATTTTGTATATTTTAAAATTTGAACAATACTTACATAACTGAAATAACACACATATATGACAATTGTTAGTAAATATCTATAGTTTTTAGATATTTTTGGCGATACAGTTAAAGTCATATTTACTTCAAAAAAATAAAACAATTAATTAATTAACAAAAATAATTGTTAGCTACTAATCACTTTATTTAAAAAAATCTATTTTATAATGTTTCACTAAACATAATATAAAATGTTAGTTAGTATAACAATATAATTAAATAAAATTTATGTTATTTTTTATGTACTATTATTTAAATATCTACAGTAGATATACGGTATACATACAGTATATATATATATAAATATAGATATTGATAATAATCATAATAAAAATAATTATTATTTAATACAATAAGATATCAGATATCACAATTTGAAATAATAATATTAAGTAATAATTTATTTTTTTGAAACTTAGTTTGAACTAAAATATAACATAATCATTAGACATTTTATTTTTTATATTAAATAAAAAAATGCTTAATAATGCATAAGTTTTATATAAGTTTTTTATTTAATTATTAAATATCAGCTTATAATTTACAAACTAATAATAATAATAAAGTTTAATATATAAAGTTAATTAGTTAGCATTTTATAGTCATTTATTAAATATATAATTTATACCGAAATTAATATTAAATATTAAATTTATTAATTAGTAGATTATATTAAGGTATTTATTAATTAATAATGATTTGAATATCCATTTAAAAAAACAAACTTAAATATTTTAGTTTTAAACTTTTATAATAAATTATAATAATTATCTGCTTTGAACATGTTTGCCAAACAATAAATTTAATATTCAAAATATTAATTATAATCTTATTGTTTGAAAATTAAAACTATTATTATTATTACTATTATTACTATTATTATTACTATTACCATCATCATAATCATTATTATTATTATTTGCTATAATGTTTTCAGTTGATTGTGTATTATTAACAAAATTGACATTGATTACTTTTTTAATAAGCAAATGTATAACAATCAATAAAATCAATGGCACGATAACACAAAATAGTAATATATATATGAAAATCATAGGACACTGTTCAACATATGCGCCCAAAATCAGTGAAGTTATTGTCATATATAAACCGATTGTAAATATAAACAGTGCGCCCACCAAATTGGTTACCGGTGTTATCGATTCAATCAATTGATATATATTGGCAAATATAGGTCCCAAACCAAAACCAATCAGAGCACTACCCGTCCACATAATAGCTATGGATGTGCCTTGAAATATAAGGAACAGTATCTGCGATACCAATAGTACGGTAAAACAGGCATACGTTACGGGAATAGGGCTAACATAATAGGATAGGACTACACATATAGCACGGCTTATGGAAAAAGCGGCCCACATTACTATCGAAATATTGTTGGCCATTTGGTTGGTCAGTCGTGATTGCGATGACTGGGCAAATGCTAGCCAATAGTTACTGTAGGTCCACATTACTGCCGTAACCAAACCTATAGTATTGGCCGCCAATACGAGAAGCAATAGTACCGCAAGTGATGGCCGGAGTTCAGTAGTAAACATTGTGTTGATTTGATCAAACATTTTGGCCAATTTGTTACGCCGATTGTTTGGCAGTTGTTTATCGACTGCCGATTGGATTAGTCGCCTGATATATGGCCGATAAAAGTAGAGACCGGCGATTATTATAGCGCACACTAAGTCTAGACCACCGGTAAATAGATACGGTATGTGAATACGTGTTGGTGTTAACTCAATGATGGCTATTGTAGTCGAGTTCACTAATGTTTTGTTTTGGATGACGTTTTCGATAGCGATGGTCATGTTATTCATGAATTCAAGTGAGGAATGGTTTGATCGTTGATTGATACCTATAAACTCAGTTACCGTAACCGATAGGAAAGGGTTGGACACTAGCGGTGATATTATAGCTGATAGGCCTAACGCTATTTGCATTCCCTGTGCAAACGGTCCGCACAGATCTTCCCACATCTCGACTATCCAGACACTGGACATTGTGTCGATAGCACCGCTGGCCAGACCGTTGACGGCAAATGCGGCATAATATCCGTTGAGTCTAACATATGGTGTTATCATTGTAGTGACGCCAACAGTAATCAAGCATATCATGTAAACAATTTGCAAGTTTATAATGTTAAATATTGGACCACCTAAAACAATATTAATTATATACATTATATTTATATAAATATAGTATCATATATTTTAGTCTAATTGTATTACCCAATGCCCCGATAGTGTATGTGACACCCCATATGGTAATACCAAGTGATACCTGGGTAAACGTACAGTTGTATATATATTGCAGATTGATTAGTGTGGGACCAGTTATCATGTTTTGAAAACACTATGATTTATGTTTTTTTTGTATAGAATTTAATTTTATATACAAATATAAATTTTGTATATTTTAAAAATTTTAAAACAATACTTTTAAAAACAATACTTACATAACAGAAATAAGACACATATATAACAATTGTTAGCAAATATCTATAGTTTTTCGATATTTTTGACGATACAGTTAAAGTCATATTTATATAATAATAATAAATATCTATAAAATAAAATATTTAATTAAAAAAAAAATAATTGTTATTATTACTATTATCCACTTTATTAATAAAAACATCTATTTAATAATGTTATTCAAACTAAAAACTGTTGTTTCACTAAACATAATAGAAAACATTTAGTTATAGTTTGTATAACAATATATTAATATAATAAAAATTTTTATGTGATTTTTTTATGTGCATTATTATTTAATTGTATACAGTTTTATATACAGTTCATACAATCAATTTGTTAATTATGATTAAAAAAAACTTAATTATTTAATCCAACAAAAATATGAATTTTGTATTAATTATTTGAAATAATAATTTGTTAATTTTAAATCAAACATAGTTTAAACAAACTAATATATGACTCAAAAAAAATTATACGTTTATTTTTTTACATTAAATAATTTGATTACTAATGCCTGACTAATAATTTTTGCTAATTAAATATCGATTTATAATTTAATAATAATAATAATAATAATAATAATAATTATTATTATTATTATTATTATTATATTTTAATATACCAGTTAATAGTTATCATTTTATATCACCTATTAATATAATATATCAATAAAACTCATAAACAATATATATAGAAATTAATATTAAATATTAAATTTATTAATTTTTAGATTATATTATGATACAGGTATTTATTAATTAATAAATAATAAAAAAAACTAAATTAAACAAACTTAAATATCTTAATTAGTAGTTTTATAGTATTAAAACTTTTATAAAAAAATTATTATAATATTATTTTTTGAGACACAATAAATTTATTAAACAATAAATTAAATAGTAGTTATAAATTATAATCTTATTGTGTTAAAAAATTAAAACTATTATTATTATTATTACTATTTTTATAATTACCACCACCATTATCATTATTATTATTTGCTATAATGTTTTCAATTCATTGTGTAGCATTAACAAAATTGACTCTGATTACTTTTTTAATAAGCAAATCGATAACAATTAATAAAACCAATGGTACGACACAACAAAATAGCATAATATATATGAAAATCATAGGAAACTGTTCAACATATGCGCCCAAAATCAGTGAAGTTATTGTCATATATAAACCAATTGTAAATATAAACAGTGCGCCCACCAAATTGGTTACCGGTGTTATCGATTCAATCAATTGGTATATATTGGCAAATATGGGTCCCAAACCAAAACCAATCAGTGCACTACCCGTCCAAATAATAGCTATAGATGTGCCTTGAAATATAAGAAACAGTATCTGTGATACCAATAGTACGGTAAAACAGGCATACGTTACGGGAATAGGGCTAACATAATAGGATAGGACTACACATATAGCACGGCTAAGTGAAAAAGCGGACCACATTAATATTGAAATATTGTTGGCCATTTGGTTGGTCAGTCGTATCTGTGACGACTGGGCAAATTTTAACCAATAGCCATTGTAATTCAACATTATTGCCATAACCAAACCAATAGTATTGGCCGCCAATAGGAGAAGCAAAAGTACGGCACGAGATGGCCAGAGCTCAGTAGTAAACATTTTGTTGATTCTGGCAAACATTTTGGCCATTTTGTTACGCCGATTGTCTAAAGGTCTCTCATCGACTGCCGATTGAATTACTCGCCTGATATATGGCCGGTAATAGTAGAGACCGCCCATTATTGTAGCGCACACTAAGTTAAGACCACCGACGAATAGATACGGTATTTGAATACGTGTTTGTGTTAACTCAATGATGGCTATTGTAGTCGAGTTCACTAATGTTTTGTTTTGGATAACGTTTTCGGTAGCGATAGTCATGTTATTCATGAATTCAAGTGATGAATGGTTTGATCGTTGATTGATACCTATAAACTCAGTTACCGTATCCGATAGGAAAGGGTTGGCCACTAGCGGTGATATTATAGCAGATAGGCCTAACGATATTTGCAATCCCTGTACAAACGGTCCGCACAGTTCTTCCCACATCTCGACTATCCAGACACTGGACATTGTGTCGATAGCACCGCTGGCCAGACCGTTGACGGCAAATGTAGCATAATATCCATTGAGTCTAACATATGGTGTAATCATTGTAGTGACGCCAACAGTAATCATGCATATCATGTAAACAATTTGCAAGTTTATAATGTTAAATATTGGACCACCTAAAACAATATTAATTATAGACATTATGTATATAAATATAGTATCATATATTTTAGTATAATTGTATACCCAATGCCCCGATAGTGTATGTGACACTCCATATGGTCACACCAAGCGATACCTGGGTAAACGTACAGTTGTATATATATTGTAGATTGATTAGTGTGGGACCAGTTATCATGTTATGAAAACACTATGATTTATGATTTTTTAAATGTATAGAATTTAACTTTATATACAAATATAAATTTTGTCTATATTTTAAAAATTTTAAAACAATACTTACATAACAGAAATAAGACACATATATAACAATTGTTAGTAAATATCTATAGTTTTTCGATATTTTCGGCGATACAGTTAAAGTCATATTTATAATAAATATATATATATATATATAAAAAATAAAATTTTTAATTAACAAAAATAATTGTTAATATTACTATTATTCACTTAATATCTATTTAATAATGTTACTTAAACTAAAAACTGTTGTTTCACTAAACATAATAGAAAACATTTATTTATAGTTTGTATAACAGTTAGGGTTAGATCAGATTCCCTCCCTCGTCTTTTATTCCATAAGTTCCTTATATTCCCTGTTCCCTGGGAATTCCCTGGGAAGACATTTCCTTGTGGTACCACCTATCGTACCCTAACTCACATTACATGAATTTATTTATGTTTAATTAAAAACACGTTTGTATAGTAAATATCTACAAAATGTATTTAATGTTTTTACTAAATGTTTAATAATATTTGAATCATATTTTGATTGAGTTATTACTAACATAATGGTCCCAATTGAAACACATAGTCATTGAGATTAGGTACTTTTTAATGTATGACAAATTATATATTCCCTTTCTAACGATCAAGGTAGGGAATATAATATATTTTCCATATTTTCCGGGAAAATTGGAGGGATTTTATTTGGGAACTTCCCTCCCTGGGAATCTCAATCTAACCCTATTATTAACAGTATAATAAAAAACAAATATTATATAATTTTAAATGTACTGTAATTGTCTACATTATATTATATAATTTATATATGACATGTTTGACAATTAATAAATTAAAATAATACAGTAGTTATAAATTATAATCTTATTGTTTGAAAATTAAAACTATTATTATTATTATTATTATTATTTTTATAACTACCACCATTATTACCATTATTATTATTATTATTTGCTATAATGTTTTCAATTGATTGTGTATTATTAACAAAATTGACATTGATTATATTTTTAATAAACAAATTGATAACAATCAACAAAATCAATGGTACGACACAACAAAATAGTATAATATATATGAAAATCATAGGAAACTGTTCAACATATGCGCCCAAAAGCAATGATGTTATTACATAGTAAACACCGATTGTAAATATGAACAGTGCGCCCACCAAATTGGTTACCGGTGTTATCGATTCAATCAATTGGTATATATTGGCAAATATGGGTCCCAAACCAAAACCAATCAGTGCACTACCCGTCCACATAATAGCTATGGATGTGCCTTGAAATATAAGGAACAGTATCTGCGATACTAATAGTATAACGAGACAGACATAAGTTACAGGTATAGGCTTAACATAATAGGATAGGACTACACAAATAGCACGACTGAGCGAAAATGATGACCACATGGCTATCATAATATTGTTGGCCAATTGATTGGTCAGTCGTCCTTGCGATGACTGGGCAAACGATAGCCAATAGTTAGCGTAGGTCCACATTATTGTCGTAACCAAACCGATCATATTGGCCGACAATATGAGAAGCACAAGTATCGGACAGGTAGGTCGTAGTTCAGTGGCCAACATTGACTTGATATTAGCAAATTGTTTGGCCAATTTGCTACCGTCGGGTTTGTTAGTAATTATGTTATCTGTGTCCGATTGGATCGTACGATTGACATACGGTTTGTATAGGTAGAGACAGCCAACAATTATAGCGCTCAGACAGTTAAGACCACCGATAAACAGATACGGTATGTGAATACGTGTAGGTGTGCGCTCAGTGATGGCTATTGTAGTCGAGTTTACTAATGTTATATTTTCGACAACATTTCCCGTAACAATAGTCCTATTATTAATGAATGAATTTACGGTATAATTTGATTGTTGATTGATGTGATGGACAAACTCGATAACCGTTTCCGATAGAAAACGGTTGGCCACTATCGGCGATATTATAGCCGCTGATCCCAATGCAAACTGCAATCCCTGGGCAAACGGCCCGCACATATCCGTCCACATTTCGACTATCCATACAGTCGACAGTGTGTCGACAACACCGCTGGCCAGTCCGTTGATAGTAAAGGTAACATAATATCCGTAGAGTCCGACGTATGGCATGATTATAGTAGTGATGCCAACAATTAACATACATATCGTATAAAATATTTGTATATTTATTTTGTTGAAAATTGGTCCAGCTACATTTTTAAAAAAAAAATAAATTAAATTAAATTAAAACTATTAATTATTGATAAATGTTTATTTTTATTATTTTTTTGAATACTTTATTTTTGTATATTAAATAACATTTATTGTTGTTGTTGTTAAATATATATAATAAATTACCAAGTTCAATAACTGTATAGGCTATACCCCACATGGTGTTACCCAATGATATCTGGGTAAACGTACATTTGTATAATAATTGCAGATTAATTATTACGGTACCAAATATCATGTTTTGAAAGTACTGTTTAGTTAGTTTTTAATTTGATTAAACAAATAAATTGTTAATTAATATTTTAAATATAAATTTTATATATAGATTTAGTATATATATATATATATATGAAAATATATATTTTAATTAATACTTACATAACAAAAATAACACATATATATGACAAATGTAAGCAAATATTTATATTTTATCGACATTTTTTGTGACTCCTGTGTAGACATAGTTTTATATTTATATATAAATATTTTTGTTTTATTTTATTTATTAGTATTAATGTATAAGTAGTAAAACCATAGATTGTAAATAAAGTTTTGTTTAATCCAATGTAATTGAAATATATATATATATATATATATTAACTATTAATTTAATTTTTATTATAATTATTATAGTTTACACACAAATATATAGACAATTATAATTTAATTTTTTTTAAAACACACAAACATGAAGGGTCACATAATTTATATTTTAACTAATAATTCAATAATAATTTTTTTTTTAATTGTAATAATAAAAAGTTATTGTAATAAATATATATACAGTTTATACACTTTAAATGACTAGTAATTTTTGATTTTATTTACTTTCTATAATTAATATAAATATCTAATAAAAAATAATATTTTTTTTTTGTCCAATTAATTACCTTTTTTTTATTAATAGTATTAAAAATAGTCAATTTTGCAATTATTCTATAGTTTAAGTACCAAAAGTTAATGTACTAATAGAAAGAAAGAGAGAAAAATTATTACAACAATTATTTTTTGTTTGCAATAAATTTATTATTACAAAAAACAATATTAACTATTATTACAATAAAAATAATAATTAATTAAATATAATTAAGCAATAGTGTAAGTTATAGTTTATTGGGTTTTTATTTCAACAATAAAAATGTGAAATATTTATATTTACAAATAATTTTTTTTGTTTGTGATTAAGTTTGTTTGTTAAACAGCAATAAATTAGCTTGTTAAATTGTTTGCAATGATTAAACAAACAAAAAAAAACAAAAAATAAAAAAACATTATATCAATTTATAAATAAAAATAAAATTCAAATAATTATGTTATTTACTTTATAAACATTTTTTATTAATTTTTTTTTTAAAATTAATACATTAGACATTTATAATAAAAAAAATTGTATTATCATTATTACATATAAAATCAATGGCCCATCATATCACCTACCGGTGCGACTAAATCACTAGTGTTGGCCAACACTTACTATTGTTGTTGTTTAATCCAGTCGACAAACTCGGATACCCGGCCGTAGACATCGGGTTCGTGCGGTTTGGCACACGGGTCCGGTCCGTACGATTGAACGCCCAACTGATACCATCGCTGCTGGTCGTCGCCACTGATGCATTGCAGAGGTCCGCCGGCGTCCGCATCGCACGCCGACGCACCGCCACCGACGGCTCCGCCCGCACACAACTCCAGGTCGTCTCTATACATGCTGTACGCTTTGTAACAGTTTAGGGCGGCCACTATCGGCTGCCTCAGCTTCTGGAGATTCTGAGGTCGTTGTCCTTCTGTAGATACATGAGCTCAACCATCATATGTATCACACATGAGATCAACAATAATAAAACAACACTTACCAGTATCTACTGAACCGAAACCGGTGGCCATACAGTTGCGTACAGTTTTGTTGCTATGTGTGGCCAAACATATCGGCGCTAAATGTTTATGTTTACCACTGAAGTCTAGTCGTTGGCTGAGCTTAACCAGAGCCAAGTCATTGGTTATATTACCGACGTTGAAGTCCTTATGCGATATGATCTGCGGTTTTTAAAAATCCAACATATTTTTTGATATATAAATTGGTGACCACTTTGACCGTAGATTTCTCGTTTTGTTACTTACTTTACTAACATTGACCATAACTTCGGTAGCGGGATCAGTGGCCAGTCGATTATGGACACCGAGTCGGACGTAAACTGATTCGGGATGTCTGTAGAAGACTACACAGTGAGCGGCGGTCAGTATCCACTGGTCAGCTATTATAGTGCCGCCGCACGAGTCCCGCGTGTCGGGTTCGGTTTCGCCGGTCATAGCGATGATTGCCTGCCACGGAAACTCTCCGGGAGCAGCATCACCGCCGCCGACAATCTGGCCATTGATATCAGTGATGGCCGCAGCCCGAGATTTGCCGCAATCTGTCGGCAATTCAATGCTCAATGCATTGATTATATACAAACATATTGTTGTTAATTGTAATAATAATTTTGATAACATTTTTTGTGATTTTTTTAAATTATAAAAGTTTTTCGTTTTGTGTTATATCTAATACATATATGTCATAGATTTCACAGTTTTTTATGTATATTAATATAATTTATATCAATTTTTTTTAATAATTGTATTTATAATCTATTGCTGGGATTGTCAGCACATGTATGTGAGTTTCAATAGATAAGTGCTATGAAAATCAAGATATAATATTTATACAATTAATTATTGTTTAGTTGAGGTTTAATTATTTTTTATTTTTTGAGGACAACTGTCCGATTTGTTTTGTTTTAAATGGCTTTATATTATTATAATTATGAAATTTTTAAATAATCTTAATTTATAATCACTTGTACCGGTAATCATTTGATAACACAATTTAATTTTTTTAATTAATAATTATATAAAATAAATATTATTAAATTAAATTAAATATTAATATTTGACACTAACTCAGTACATATTATTATTAATAATATTATAATTTGATTATATTAATATTTATTAATAAAAAATATTGTTTTTTAAATTTGTAAATTGAATTTATAATAAAAAAAATTTATAAAATAAAAAATATAATAAAATTTAATTATATTTAAATATAGATACAAATAAGTGTAATAATAATAATTATTATTTTTTTAAATATATTTTAAATAATACAAATTATTTAATAGTTTTGCGAATCCATTGGTTAAATGCCGACACTTTGGTATAGACATCGGGAGCACCAATAGCACAGGGACGTCCATAGGAGACGATACCGATTTGTTTGTAACCACCAGTGCCCGTACGACTCATGCACAGCAGCGGTCCGCCCGAATCGCCATGACAGGTACCTTTACCTTTATGGCCACCACCGCAAACATTGGTCACCGGGTTGACCCTATCAAAGTCGCCTCTAGTACGACACTCGTCGATGTCCTCAATCAATGGTTCGTCAACTTTCATCAGTCCAGTTGCCTCACTGTTATCGTTAATACCTTTTTTACGACTACTGTAGCCGGTAAGCCCGTAGCCGGTGGCCACACACGATTTACTGTCAATATCCGAATCATCATCGGCGGTGGCCAACTGTACAGGTTTTATAAATTCGGTAAATTTTTCGATTTTACCGACAATTTTGATGACACCGATATCGTTGACCGGTCCGTACGGATCGTTATCATAGTCTTCATGATATAAAACCTTTAATTAATTAATAATAATAATACTTAATTAGTTAATTATATTCACAAAAAAATAAATACCATTTCGACATGTTTGGTGACCGCTATTTTATTATCAATATCAACCAAATCGCTAACATTATAGTGGACAGTATACTGTTTAGGGTCGGAGCTCTGGGCTAGACAATGGGCTGCCGTCAGTATCCATTGGCTATTGATAACTGTGCCGCCACACGATACCCGATAGGTTGAACCAGATTGTCTGAATAGACGCTCGACTAGTACTTGGTAGGGAAACTCGCCCGGGTAGGTGGCATTACCGCCCACTATAGTCACATTTATCTGTCCAATGGACTTGTTGTTGTTGTTGATGTTATCATATTTGTTGTATTTGGATAGTAGTCCTCCTAAAGCCCGATGATAATTAATGATCACAATAGTAATAATAATTGTGCAAATAATTAACTTATATGACATTTTTTTTTGTTGGTTACTGCTATTTCAATACAATATTACAACAACAAATATAATAATATGATAGTAATAGTAATAATTAAATAGTAATAATAATAATTATAAAGTATATAATTTATTTACATTACAATTGAAAATATCTGTAAAAAAAATTCTTATAGTATTACTTACATATAAATAACTTTTATTTTTTGTGTTTCAATTATTTTTTTTTCACTGATAACCACTGTATTGTAAAAAAATAAAGTGTTAATATAATATATAATAAATATATATATATATTGTTTGATAAATTATCAATTAATTAGAGTTGCTTACGTGTTATCTTAATATTTTATAGATTAGATTATTAGTTTGCATTATTTTTTTTGATATACATTATTTTTATTATTTATTTATAGTATTATATTTGTATTTTTTTAAATATTAAATTTCCCAATATATATAAATATGTAAGTAATTGAAAGCGAAATTTTTTTAAATGTCAACAATAATGTAATTAATATTTAAAATTCAATTTATTTTTTATATTATTATTATTATTATTACTAGGAATCATAGCATTAATAACTATAATAATTAGTGATATTATGTAATTTAATGTTCATTAAAGTTGAATAACATTACAACAACAACAACAACAACAACAACAATAACAAAAATAACTATATTAATAATAACTTACATTTTTTATATATTATAAATATTTCTAAATATAAATAAAAAAAATTAAAAAATTAATTAATTAATTAATTATATATATACTAGTTAATA